TCTCTTCACCAACAACATCCCTCACCTCCACCACGCCGCCGCCTGTAGCTGTCTGACAGCTGGACTAGACTCGACCGAGACGAATATCGCAAAGTCGCACACCAACCCACATACCTCGCATATACAACGCTTTATATGTCCGATCCAGTCTCCGCCGCCGCCGCCGTGACGCATACATAAAACATGGCGGACGCAACGCAGTCCATCAAGTCCCGTATCGCCGCTCTCAACATTGAGCAGGTCCACGCCCCGTCACCCACGAGTCGACCGACCTACAGCTACGACCAAGCACAGGCGAAGAAGAAACCTCCTCCTCCGCCGCCCGGCCAGCGACCATCTGTTCCGCTGCGGCACCAGACCGTCAACAATCCTCCTATCCAAAGCAATGGCCCGTCCTCTACTAGAACGATCGGGAATCAGCCTGCCAACGGCAATACGCCTACGCAATCGCCCGCGCTTCCTCCCCGGCTACCTCCCCGCAACAACGCGAAGAAGCCTCCGCCTCTACCGGCACGTCAGCCATCACAACCGACTTTGAGAAAGCAAGAGTCGAGCGAGTCGATTGCGACAATGGCCTCAGGGAACTCGGACGTATCCAATCTCACACTGGGATCGGCCGTTCTGGATAGAACTACGTCAAACGATGGGAAGCGTTTTCAAATACGGGCCCCGCCATTTGACCCTTCCAAGCTCCCTCCTTTGCCGGCTAGAAAGCAGGAAGATGCAAAGGAGATGAGCGCCACTCGCAGGGCAATGACCTCGACGAGAACCAGCAAATCGCCCATCGCTCTACCACCCACGCTGCCCTCCCGTCCTGCGGTTCCCGCGCGGTCACAGACGATGGCTCAGGAGGCACGGAAACTACCGCCTGCACCGAGAAAGTCTGCATTGGAGTGGGGTATGAATAAGGCGACTGAGACTCCACCTCCGCTCCCGGCTGCTCGACCCGCTCTTAGAGGTGAGGCGGGGAATGGAGCGCCTCCTCCGGTTCCACTGTCCTCTAGGCCAAACCTCGATGCCATCATGGCTTCGAAGCCAAAGCCCGGTGCTCGACCTATCGTTTCAGCGCAGAACAGCGGTTGTTTGATCTGTCGTGATTTTTCCGCCCCCGACCATCACGCTGCTCAATTCCCGAGGCAAACATTACCCTCATCAGATGCCGGGTGGCTGGCTGCACAACTAACTGCTCCCTTCTCGTCGCACACTGATAAGGCACGTGCCATTTTCACCTGGCTGCATCATAACATTGATTACGACTGCCACTCATTCTTCAGCGGAAACATCTCCCCGTCTACACCGGAACGCACGATCAAGACAGGATTGGCTGTATGTGAGGGTTATGCTGGACTCTTTGCAGCTTTGGCGCTCAAAGCCGGTCTAGAAGCCATGGTAGTAATGGGGCACGGCAAAGGCGCTGGACACACACCCGCCGAGCCGGGAGCTCCACTCCCCAAGTTTGACGGAAACCACGCGTGGAACGCCTTCCGCCTCGACGACGGCCAGTGGAAGCTCATCGACCCCTGCTGGGGCGCTGGCAATGTCGGCTGCGACAACAACTACAACCGGTGCTTCAACCCCTCAAACTTCACAAAAAGCAATATCGACTTCGGCTACACGCACTACCCGGAAGATAACGCCTACCTCTTCCGTGAAGACGGCCGCATCTCCACCTGGGAAGAATACTGCATGGACGATGCCGGCGGGCGCGTGCAAATCTACGGCTCGCCGGCCAGCGAACTCGGCGTCGCCACGCGCTCCTTCCAACCCTCGCAACTCCACATCAAAGTCTGCGACCCGCGCCTACCCCCCACGATCCGCTTCTCCTTCGCCGTCAACTGCGCGCACTGGGACCACGAGCGCAACGGCAAGGGCAAACCGTACATCATGACGCTCAACGTCGGCGGCCGCGATGGCCGCAATTCCCAGCAGTTGCCGTTCAACACCGACGGCAAGGTCTGGTGGCTCGATGTGGATCGCACCGAGCTCGGCGCACCCGGCCAGAAAATCAACGTCTGCTATGTTACGCATTTTGCCGGCAAGGATGGCCGCGGGCTTAGTCTCGCGACGTATAAGGCGAAGAAGGGGAAAGTTGCGCAGCAGTGGAGTAGTGCTTGTATGTGGGAGTTGGTGTAGTTGGGATGGCGGTATGATGGGATGGCGGTATGATGGGATGATTATATGAAATGTGTGGTTGGAATGGGATGGAATGGAATGGAATCGGATGGAATGAATATGAAATGGTTAAACGGGATACCCCTTGGGATTTTGGAATATAATGTGCATGACTTGATTTCATGGTAGTTTTTTTTGGGAGATGGGATTTTTTTTGTTTCCTTTTCTCTATCTCTGTCATGGTTTTGGGGAAGTACATATACAAATGGGTTTTAATTTTTATCTATCTCTATATGCTGTGTTTTGTCTTCCGAATCAAAGTAATGTAAATGGAAAATAATTTTTCCTTTTTAACGCCTTTTTTTTCTACTTTAATTCTATATATAAATAATTTCTTTGTAGTCTTACTGCAAAAAGTAATATATAATGTACCCTTTTTAACTTTTCCCCTCCCTCCCCCCTTCTTAAAGGATTAGAATGGAAAGGTATCTATCTACATACGGCCTACTACAGGATTATTTTCTCTATTTCATTTTTAGGTAAGATAAAAGTAGGTAGGTAAAGAAAGAAAGAGATAGAAAGATAGACAGCCTGTGTGTTTATTGCGGGGGCTAGGGGGTAGAGGAGATGATGGAGAGGTTAGTAAGAAGTGGAGAGAGGTAGAATAGAGGGAAAAAGAAAGGTTTATTATGGTGTTTATGGATTTTTTTCGTGGGTGGTTTGGGTGTACGTTTAGTTTTTAGTTTTTTTTTTTTTTTTTTTTTTTTTTTTTTTTTTTTTTTTTTTGGCTATTGATAAAAACTTAAAAGGGTATATATGTCGTTTTAAGCTCTAGTAATTGAGATGGTTAGGGGGTAAGTGATAGAGGGTGAAGATGAGATCTTCTGTAAATATTCACCTCCTTTCTTTCTGCACTTTTTTTTTTATCTTTTATTTAAGGTCTGGAATCAAATTTACATTTAGACGGACGTATTGTCTAGACTGAAGAAACCCGATGGATTGAGGACCTACATATCTACATGATATTAATTATTTGACGATGACAAAAAGTACCAACGTCCTCTTCCCTCGTCCCACGCGAGTCTCAAGTGATTCAACCAAGCACAAAAACAAAAGAAAGAACCGACTTTAATCCGTCTTGCCGACTCCAACCACCCTTCCCCTCCCACCAAGTCCCAATTCCTCGGCGCTCAGAAACCTCCCAGCAGCCGCAGCCGCACTCGCACCAACAGTCCCGCGTCTGCCTCTTTCCAAATCCGTGCGTCCCGCGGTTCCAGAGCGAGGTCGCCATCCACCCCCAGCACCATTCGATGCAGCTCCATTACCGCCGCCGCCGAGCGTCGCGCCGCGTCTCCTCTTCCCCACCTGCGCGCTCTCGTACTCGCCGCGCCAGAAGCCCCATCCGAACGTACACACCAGCGCGATACCTACGAATAGGACCACGACGCCGAGGACGAAGAGCAAGATGGCGAGGAATCCCGAGGAGATCCAGTTTGCGAAGCCGACGGCTACGCGGGAGAGGAAGTGCGTTGGGGTTCCTTTGCGGCCGTACGCGTCCCAGGAGAGGTAGTGCATGGTTTGCTGCGAGGCGGGGATTTTGATGGCGTGCGGGCGGGGGATGAGTTTGGCGCTGTGGAGGATGTAGGCTGGGGACGGTGACAGCGCGCTGAGCAGGGGAGTTTGGAGGAGCACGAGCTCGAGGATTTTTTGCTCCTTGCGGTCCAGGGGGTACGCTGTTGGCGGGGTGGTTAGAGCCGAGTGGATTTCGAAGATGTCGAGGTGGAGGAGTTTGGCTTTTAGTGGGGGTGGGGACGGGGTCGAGCTTGATTTGGGGGAGGTTGCGGTGAAGGTTGAGGTGCTGAGTTTGATGTCCTGCAGGGAGATGCGGTAGGAGACGCCGAAGGAGACGCCGCCTGAGGTGGGGAGTTGGGTAGAGGCATCGAGTTGGCCGGTGGAGATGATGTCCGAGAGGGAGGAGGCTGAGAGGTCGGAGAGGACTTGGTTGCTGTGGATTAAGGGGAGGTTTTGGCGTCCCGAATAGAGGGGTGCATTGTTGATGGAGATGTATGCTGAATCATATGGGAGGCTGATATTGAGCAACTGTCGCGAATCGTTAGCATGTTTTCTCTCTCTTGGACCCTGGCAAAACAAAACGAAAGATTGAAAGAAAGAGAAAATAGAATTACCAAACTATTCTGATCATGCCTCGAAGCCCATCCCTTATTCTCGCCTTTGGAGGTATCCTGATATACAAAGGGACACCCAATACATGGAATCTTGGCAACGACGTTGTACCCTTCCTCGACGACGGTAATTTCCGGCGCTACCTGAGCTCTCACCACGTTACTCCACACGACGCTCCACAGAGCCACGGCGGCGGTGGTGCTGATCCGTACAATCATAGCTCCAAAACTCGAATCTTCATTTCAAGATTTGAGGGGAAGGAAAAAGAGAAGAGGAAATAAAAATAATGCCAGGCTTTTGGGGGGAGGAAAAAGACAGATGGTTGGGATAGGAACCTGGCTGGATGTGTATGTCAGCTCCGAAGGGTCTTGGCCGCGTCTCGGTTCGGAGTTCTGTTACATTACGGTCTAGAATATTACTGTAAAAACTCGCACATAACGGCTAGCCCGCCCGTAGCTAATAATAGATTACCCTACAAAATAGCCTATATAGTAATCTCTTTTATAAATATTTATTTACTTCCCTATAATAAATAAAACTAGGCTTACTATATATAATAATAATAAATAAGTAAAGAAAAGTACCTTATAAGCTAGTTTCTATACTTACTAATTATGTAGTGCAAGAGGCTCTTAGAAATTAGAGGGAAGGAGAAAGAAAAAAGAAAAACATGGCAGCATCGCAAAAAAAAGATATTGCTGATTTCTCCGCTCCCAGAATCGAACTAGGGACTGTTAAATTCGTTAGTAGCTGTTTTGAATTCTTATATTTTTAACGTAACATACCCTTTCGATTACAATTTGATATTACAGTCGAACGTGATAAACCAACTACACCAAGCGGAGGAATAGCACTAATTGTGCTGCTTGTTTTTGATGTTGATGACCCCAAAATAATCCATATATATACGGGGTTTTTTGTTTCCCCTTGGAGAAGTGTGCGATGTCGCTAGAATTAGTGTCTCGGCAAAAGATGCAAAATTTATGTAGTCATGCGTATGTCTGTTCCCACTCACTGCTCCACCTGTTCTGCACAGGGAATGCCTACACCGCAATCAAACCAACGACTTGTATCGAATTAAAATCTGGTTAATACTTCCGCATCTTCTGCTTGATATGAATGTCCTTTGACAAATATATTTCTGTATAGGATTACGACATAATCTAGACTCCACAAAAACACGTTCTTAAAAACGCACGAGCACCTCTCAGTCCTCATCACACCACCGAACTAACCCTTCCAAACCTCAGGTCCAGCGCCCTGCCAGTTTTTCAGCTCATCCATCGGCTCCAAAGGCCTCATAAGCGCATTCGGCAGCCAAATCCCTAAGTCGCAAAAAAAAAAAATAATCAGAATTGCCATTAGATTTCGCCGCTTCTTTACCCCTATACTTACCATCGTCTTTCGCATTGAACGCACCAGGGAATTTAGTCGTCGGTCCAGGCGTCCCTATTCCATTCTTTAGCATAACACCATACAAGTGCGCGAAGCTACGCATACCTTGTCCCGAGCCCGTAATCTCGACATGTATGCAGTTGACATACATCTCCGTAGTCATGTAGGCACTGTTGATGTTCAAGTGCTCGCCTCTCAACAAGTACTTCCCAGGAGGCGTGGATTTCGGGATCGTGAAATTCATCTACAAAAGTCGGTTCATAACTGCGTTAACCCGGTGACACAATAACAAAGCAGCAGGAAGATGGTAGAAGGGGTAACGTACCACACCAGAAGCACTCTTCTGCCCCACATCCCAGTTAAGACCATCCGAAGCGCCGATGGCAGCGATTTTGAACCTATGCGAACGTTGTAGTGTCCGTGATGAAGATGAATAGAAGTCGACAAAGAAGAATACAAACGTACCATTCACCATCGCCCGCGTAGTCATTTGGTTCACCGTGTGCCTTTGACAGATACGCCGTCGCAGGTCCATCATGGTAGATCCGGAAATTCGGATCGTACTGAAAATCCACCGAACGCAGTTTCTATATCAGTATCACCAAATTCCAAATAATTACTGTCTTCTGTCATTTCCGAGAGACTCACATCAGCGAAATCCTCATGCTCTTTGTAATAGCTCTTTATCGACGCAGCTGCGAAGCCGATGGTACTTCCAGCTTCGATCTTGAGCGTTTCAACGGGGAAGAGAGGAAGTGTAGCGTTGCGTCCGCACATTGCGGTTTCGCCGGAGTAATCATAGTTGGGGGAGAACTCTGCAGCGGGGCTTAGGGTAGTTTTTTTTTGGTCGTGTTAGATGACGAGTTATGTGTGATTCATGTAGGAGTGGGTGAGTAGATACCGGGTGTATTGCCATCGTTTGGAGACCACGCCGTTGACCACGGCATAGGGAAAGCCATCTTTGGGCTTGTGATTAGCTAGGTTGGGATAGGCGATGGGATTAGAATTACGTACAGTGGCCTGTAGCCTGGTGGAGGCCCTGCAAAGTGAGAAAAGTGAGCTGCTGCAGCATGATCTTCATCGCGACAAGCAAGTAACTAAGCGGGATGAGTGTTGGGGATAGTCAAAAATATTTCATAGGTTTCGAAATATTTCAAGTCCTCTTCTGTGAGTATGCGTAGTTTCGTTTATGTAGTCGTGTGCACAGTAGACGGAGACTACTTGCAGGGACTAATCAATATTAATTGACTATCCATAGAACAAGCCTGCCCAACAAAGTTGATATACGTTCGTATTTCTCCGGCTCCGCGACACAGACTCCTCGCAGTGTCTATTTTATATGCATGCAGCTAGTTCCTGGGGGTTGCAGACGGATGCTTCGGAGCTTTGAGTTCCGCTCTGCGGGAGGACGAAAGAAGCTTGGTATTGATACTAGGCTGAGTCGATTTAGTAATAGCTCTAACAACTCCGGAGTGGTCACGTGCTGTCGCCATTGCACCAGATCGAAAGCATCAGTCCACGGACGCAACTTGACCTATTACAGTTAGTGGGTCCGTAGGTCGTAGCATCCACTAGTGACGCATCAAGCGTTTTCGAAGACTTGTTTAAAGGTTTCCAAATTCCCATGCCCGGTAGGCCCGGCGGCATAGACAGCAAAAACAACATTTTCGAACCAACCAGCGAACTCCTCTAGCTCAAGTGCGCTCTTCATCTGCTCCGCGACAGCCTTTGGTGGACAACCATAAGCGCCGCATCCCATCGCTCCGAGAACCAAGCTGGTAACGCCGTTAACTGCCGCCATTCGGAGCGTAAGCAAAATCTTCTCGCGGAGATCATGCAAGTCAGAATCCTTCGCAAATCCTTCCCCAGACTCTGTGAGCTTCGGCTGACAAGGTGCCGCCACCGTCATGACGGCGACGACATGCCGGTGGGCAATAGGGAACTCGACAAGATTGTTCGACAACGTGTCTCTGAACACGACAACGTCAGGTGAGAAGATGCCTGCGCAGGAGCGTGGACCAAAGTTTGGCCAAGGGTACCATTTTGGCTTCAGCGTCGCATAGAGTGTAGATGAATAGCACAAGGCTTCCTCTTGCGTCATGGAGAGAGTGTGGGGCCAGCCGCCTCCAGGCTCGAAGTTACTGGCGAGATTCAGTACGCCGATCTTGCCGCTATCAGAAGGCAAGGACCGGGCAAGCTCGAAGGAGTCACTATTGTGAATTTCGATGGGCTTCAAGGTGAGGTTTGGGTACGCAGTGTGCGATTTGCTGAGGGGGCCCAGCTGCGATGAAATGAAGCTGCTCTTAAGCGAGCCCCCTGGGGTCGAGGCAGCGATGGCTTCGGAGCGCGCAATGGTGTCTGCGCAAATCTGGCGACGGCCTACGAAATTGATCATTTTGAAGCTTGGTCGAATCTGAGGTGTGAAAGACTTGTGATGGAGTTGAATGCGAACATTATGTAATCCCCTCGGAACCAGCACTGTTGCCTGAGAGCCACAGCTAAGCCCAAAGAAGCTAGACCGTGGCGCTAAACCTGGGGCTGTGCATTGGGTTTCCCCATTGAGTACGGCCTGGGGGGGGGGGGTCTGTGAATGTTTACACTGATTTTGTACTAGCGCGGACTGGACCCCTCAGTATATATATGGGTCAACAACAGAGATTCTCGGTCGCGAAAGGTCTGAATCGAGGGTTTTTCCGATTAGACGAAGTGAAGCAATCTCCCTGCGCACGCTTGGGTATGAATTTGTAGTTCATTTAAATTATATACCCACATGTCCAAATTCTAATGAAGTGTGAAATGGAGTGAAGAACAGTGATCTTGTTGGATTGGAGGGTGTCTGGAGTGGATTTGGCTGGATTGGATTGATTGGTGTGGAGCTCCATGGACCGCCAGATCTATACCCGATTAGGAAAGAGTGAGTCAGAGTAAAGATTTTGAATCTATCATTTACGAAGTCCATTTAAACATACACGATATACTACCCTAGACTTGCCCCTAGCCAAAAAAAGCATATGGGCATTTGTTTATGGCGATATCAACACAGACAACACGCTGAACTGCAACGCCTCCCTCACAACTTCCACACCCTAACAACCGAATCCCCATCCGCAGAAACCAACACTCCCTTGTCCTTCAAAAACGAAACCCCCTGTCCATTCCACATATGATCATTCACACGCGGCGTAATCCACCACTTCAGATTCTGTCCAAAGTCATAAACATACGTCGCATCCCTATTCGAGAACAAGATCTTCTTGTCGTCATCCACCCAGCGGATGTTTTGCGCTGAATAGACGCCCGACCCAGAAGCTTCCAGCTCCCACTTCTGCACCAGCTGCAGGCTAGGGATCTTCCACACTTGGACCCTCCCTCTGTCGCTGACGGCGAAGAGGTCGCCTTTTTGGCTCCATTGGATGGAGCGCGGCCATTCGTTGAAGCCTGTGAGAGCGATGGGTTTGGCGTTGAGATTGTCGAAGGCGTAGATGAGAACTGTGTTGTTATTGTTTCCGACCGTGATGGCGATGTATTTCCCATCGGGCGAGAACTGTGTGTTCCAGTTCTGCGCCCTGGTGTCTGGGAACTTGAAGATGCGGGAGCCGGAGGATGCGTTCCAGAGATCGGCCGTTTGGGCAGTCCAGCTGACAGTTGAGAGATGGACCCCATCAGGCCTGAAGCTTAGGTCGCTGATGGGGGGCATGCCTTCAAGCGCCACGGTTGTGCCGTTGTTGTCCAGATCGTAGATGTATCCGACTGTGGTTGCCATCTTTCCCTGTTTGCTGATGGCGCCGAGACCGCCGGTGTAGATGGTGGGTTTGCTGGCGGTAGGCTTGAGGTCTGCCCCTACATGTCGGTACAAAACACCCGAGGGTGACTCGTAGAGATGTCGGACGCCGTTTACGAGCACATCGTAGCCTCCTGCTGGCGCCGAACGCACCGTCAGTCCCTGCAATATATACGTATCAGGATGGCCGAGGTGGAACGTGGTGACGGTCGAGTTTGTGTTCAAATCCGCGAATCGAATGTGAGTGCCATTCTGCATAACCAAATACTTCTGGTCTTCAGTCACGGCTCCGGCAAAGATGTCATTCGGGACAGGCTCGTTAAATTTGTACTTGAACGATTCAGAACCCCATTCTTTGGGATAGGAGGGCGCCCATTGTGCCGAGACGTTGTTCTTTGCAAAGTCGGATTTTAGTTTGGGGACCAATATCGAATTGACGAGTTCGTAACGAAGATTTTGCGCCGCTGCTGCTTGAATTAAGCCAACGAAAGCGCAAATGGTGTTGAGGTTCCACATTGTAGACTTCTGGTCACGGATCGCTGTGCTTGATGAGCAGTCAAGAAGGCCGCCAGTGTTGTAGAAATCGTTACTCTTAATCCATCGTTGTATCCCTGCCAGGAATCCTCGCTGGTAGTTTATGTTTTGAAACTCTTATTGCGGATTGCCGGT